TTCCCAAACAGGAGAAACTGATTTTGATGTCCAGATTACTGAAGTTGAGTAGTTAAGAACATTTGAGAGTCTTAAAGAACTCCCCAAACATTTACATCACAGTTACGGATAGAGGCTTTAGGATCCTTTTACCTCTACTTAGTTAACCTTTTTAAAACAGTTTCAGGTACTTTTTTTTATCTACTTTTGACAATTTTTGGCTTACTCCTGGTACTTTCTTCTGAATAACTTTTACCTATTTCCTGTTTGTTTTCCTAAAATGTAATCATATTTGGAATACCATTAATCATCTTCCTGGCTAACCTTTAGCTTTTGGCTATATTACTGACACCCATTTTTTGCTAGATTAGTTCATTTTAGCTTATTTTAATATTGTGTTTTTGCAAACTTTTAGTTTTTTTTTCTAAAACAGTGACTAGCAGTTGCTTTTTGCCTATTTTTTTCCAGCCTTGAACCATGTTTTTTCTGTTGAGCTCTTTTTGTGTTTATCTATTAGCTATTTCAGCTAATAAATATGTCATTACTAAAAAAATAGTTAACCAAAACATTGTGCTGAAATATTGAAGTAGGTCTACGATATGTGTCAGGGTCGCACATGTGAGGGTCGGAAATGCATGGGCTATTTATACTGTATAGAGTGACACAGAGGGATATTTTATATGGCTGCAGCATAAGACTGTGGCACAGGCTGTATGAAAGCCAGGGAAACACAAAGAAACTTCTCACACAACATGCTGTCACTATGACAACCAGGCAGAATCATTTAGCCTGATCTCTTGCCATTCCACACAGCACAGAAATCCAATAGCATTTAAGTCTTACGCAACCATGTCAGTGAATCAAGCCTTTTTCTCTCTCAAAAAAAAAAAAAAAAAGATTCAGAGCAGCAGATATGAATTCCTCTCTTACCTTTTTGTTCCTCTCTTACCTTTCAGGAGGTGTGAGGTGCTCAGTGTCTCCGCAAAATCCATCAGGTCAATTTAAGGCTACACCACAAATGGGCCATTGGAACATACCACTGTCCTTTATTGTTGTCTCAGTATTCAAACACAGGGGGGTCAGATAGCTTGCTGTTGATATGTTAGCTGTTGGCAAGTTAGCTGGTGTAATAATGTAACAACTTCTCTACTGGGTTCATTTTGTTCATTGTTTAATTTGTTAATACATGGCGTTCAAGCTCAACTCGTTATGTTCATAGTGCTATTCAAGGGTATTGACTTCTATGGCAATTACTTCTGCTAATTCCAGGTCAAAGTCACATTGTGTGAGTTGGCTAAAAAAAGGAACTTCTTAATGTTAACTTAATGTTAACTTTGAGCTTCTTCTGGGTAAACTTTAAGCTGCGTTTTAAATGTTTTGCTAATTGTCTGTTTTTGGTACCTTTGAGCTTCTTGGCTATTTTATGCTCTCTGATCTATACTTTGCTTAAGCTTAGCTTTGTCTTTTGACCTTCGCTATCTTTTACTTTGGCTAACATAGCTATTTCCAGGCTGATTTTTAGTTAGTTAGGCAACTAACTAACTTTTGGGAGTAACTGGACCTTACTTTTTATAAGCGATGGGCTTACTTTAATATCAAGTATCACTGTCACCAATTTCTGCAGGCGTTTAGCATTGTGTGAGCTAACTTTGGGTTAAAAGTGTTTCTAAATGAACAAATTCTAAATTCTCTATGCAGCTGTAGCAAATACGTTTACATTGGACTGTGTCATGCAGTTATTACATATTTATGAATTGTGTGTGTTTATATGGCACTTGTTTTAGAGCAAATTGTGAAGATGGCCATAGAAACGGTGCAAATGACTATCAAGAAATGTTTCAGACAACGGTGAATACGTCTCTGCATAGATCATGAAGGGGATCTGATGTAATTCCACGTGCAGCAGCAGTCGCGTCTGTTTGCGTTTAAATCGCCCTGAAAATACTGATCAAACACACAGCAAGGCGTGAGAAAAATAAAACTTTTCATTAAATGAAATAAATCGCCGCAGTAATGTGTGTGTCTCTGTGTCTGCTTCGCTGCTTCCACTGGATTATTTTCTACTTCGCGTGCTATCACACAGACGCTTCCCTCATGTATCAATGCGTGATTAAAGGAAACTTCTTTTGGGAAGTGCGGGGAACTACTTTTAGTCGACTTCGGAAGAAGGCGTTTATACCTGTCTAACAGCACTTCAAGGAAACACATTTTAGTATAATAGAAATCGGTCTTTAATCGGAATATATCTATTATCTGCCGGTTTGTGTTATTCCATAGTAATAGCGTTGCATTTTCCTGAGGTTTTACTACGTCGCGGAAGGATCTCATTTTCTCAAGCGAGGGTCGCATATCCGCCCAGTTTTCCGATGTTTCATCTCTGCCCCCCCACACACAGTTGAAAATGGAGTTCGATAAAAGCAGATGTCCTCCAACTTATCCTGGACATTTTTACCCTCTGTATTTTTATTTTACACTCCGGCGTTCAAACTGAAAGCATTTGGACCTCTCTCTCCTTTTCGGGGAGGTTGTGGTGGTGGTTGGGGGCTGCTTTTGGATGCCTTTACTGTAGAGTAACGCGGACACGTTGACGGAGCAACGCTTTGCTGCACACAGTGCTGCCTTTTCCTCTCTCTCCCTCTCACTCTATAAGTCTTGTGTCCGTTGACGTGAAGTTGGGCGAATGGATGCTCGGCAGCCAGCCATAAATTCACTGCCCGACGTTACACTCTGCGTTTTTTGGAGGATTTATACCTAAGAAAAATCGGAACCGTGTTCGTCTGAGACGCTGGTGCGAATGATGGCCCATTTGTTGTGGTCGGATTTTACTTCCAGGGAGGATAAAATGAATCAACGGTTGTCATTATTCCTCCTCCTCCTCCTCGTCGCGATTTAACATTAGAGTTCCAGGCAAGCTAGCGTGGAGCTAGCTCCACTTGTTTCTTATTTTCTTTTATTTACCCTCACCGTAAGGACGTTTCATTTTTGTCAGGCCAAAGGGTTCTTTTAATTACCTTCATCTTTTTACTTACTGTCCGAATTCAAGCGGTGACTTGTACATGTGAAGGAAAATGGTGATATTTATGGCATTTTATCCCGCCGTCACTGCGTCGTCGATGCTATTGCTAGGATTTGGATCCCCGTGAGGAGAAAAATGAGTGAAGATTCAACAAATCCAAACAACGAGTGAGTATCGTTTTTGTTTGAATGTACTCAATTTTTTTACCCACATGTTTTTTTGTTGTTGTTGTAACAGATGTATAATATTGCATTATTACATATACATACTTTACACAATAGGCAATATCAATGTACCATGATATTTACACTCCTGTTAAACTAAATGTATTTGTTTATGGAGAAAATTAAAATAAGAAAGTTTAAAAAACACAAACATTTCAACAGCTTGGATTATAAAAATGGTTATTGCGGATACTGTAATTTGTATGAAGTACAATTTCTTTGACAGGCAATGTCACAGGGCCTATAGTTCAAACTCACCATCATCTTTTAGTATTTAATATAATACATCATCAGCATTTGACAACTCTGGAACATCTTTACTGTGTTAATGAATGGTTATACATGACTGGACATAGAATTATAGGTATTTGCTGCTAAGTATGCGTAGGTATTTGATAACTAATGTTACATGGCTGTTAGTAAACTCATGCAAAACAATAATAGTGTAGTCAATACGATTTCCATGATAGTTCAGTTGATCAGGCAGTGCTTTTTGAGAGTCTAGGTCTATTTTAAAGTGTACTCCATGATTTCCGAATAAAATCATGATTTAAAGTCCGACATAACTCATTTTTGGCTAGAGCTAAGCTTTCGTTTTTCACGTATAAACACATATGATGCGATTGCGACTCGATCGGCGTCGAAAATGGTCTGAAGATGCCATTTTTTATCAATCGCACTCATTTACATATTACAATCTCCATTCATAAAAACGCATTTTTTCTAAAGAAAGGCGTCTCCTTCACACCCAAATCCCGCACAATCCTAGGATGTCGGTTTTTTAATCCGTGTGTGAGGTGTCTGTTTGTGCTCGTCGCGCCCATTTTTAAGTCGCATTTCGCGTGTATGTGTGTGTGCTGTTGTTTTTCAATGAGTCGATCTCTTGTGTGCGCTTGTTGACAGTCAGTGAGAAATATCTGCTTCGGGAGGTGCTGCGGTCACATGATTCCCCCTCCATTCATAAAGTACCTGCCTGCCCATTCACAGCACTGTACGCTGTTTTCGCATTGCACCTCCGTGCACACAATGCATTTCCTGCACACAAAAAGCCCCCACATGGTAAACACCAGCGCTCCCCTGTCAGCCACATGTTTTATTTAAACGCAACGTTTCCTCTTCTCAAGCGGATATATGGTCTTTGTTAATCTATTTGTCACAGAGGAAGTCATATGTGCTCTTCGGCCATTTACTGTGTCGTGGTTTAATGTTGGAAACACACCCATGTTTTTCCCCTATCCCTGTATTAGGTTAATTCACATTATACCTGAAGGCGTTGTTGTGGACTACACCATTGGTTTTTATGTTACAGGTGCTCATCTGTTTATACATTTTATACCGTGGTACTATGTCTAAGTTGATTTTGTTATTAGTTTTTCATCTGTTCTATTTAAATTTGAATTCTCTTTTTTAACATTGCACTTGAATTGCTGGTGGGAAATATAACACATTACTTTAATATACTTTGTTACTTTGATATGAGTAATGAACTAAACGTGTTTTATTTATCTACTAACATTCAGTGAGCTGGTAATAGAAAACACACTGAAGATTTAAGGTACACAATGTACAATGTAGATTAAGTTCAACACTATGGTTAGATGTGGATAATTCAAATCATTTAACATTTTATGTATTATATTGGGTTTATTAAACTTTGGTTAAAGGTAAAGGTGGATTAAATGGGAGAAAATACCGATTGTACAGATTTGACCTGTGATCAATATTTAACTTAGATTAAATATCTTAAATACCCTTTTTCATTGGTACATACGTCAAAGAACACATTGTGAATGACAATGAAATATTTTAGAAAAGCTATGATATCAAATATTCCAGTCTGATAACAATATTTTCAAATGTTCATTAAGTAAATGTGTTTTGTTCTTCCTACAACTAACATGTTATTGAATAAAGTTGACGTTACAGTTTTACACAGAACAGATGCTAGTACTGTACAATTGCAGTAAGCCAAAAAACAAAGATTATGACCTCTGCACGTACTTGATGGGTTTCATTAATTACTAAAAGCCACTTTAAGTCCTTCTGTGCTTTTTAGGTGTCAAATCAGGATTACTATATACTATGTACTTCAGAAATCCCAAACAAGGTGACATCATAGCTATGACAATACGACTACTCCTACTTGTCATGACTCAAATAAGGCATTTTTTTTAGAATTTTTAAATTATATTTACCAACAACTGGTTTCACATTCAAAATGTTTTTTCTAACATACTGTAATTATGCTGACACAATGGGAAACCTGGTTGCTTGACAAAAGATTGGGCTGTTAATGTGTGTCTCTAGATATGATTCCTGATTTGCTGAATTCTAAAGATTTCTTAATCTTCATTTTTAAAATAACCCAATAGAATAACAGTAAATGTGAGATATTTCACACCCTCTGTCATAGTTGCTGAAATCATTGCTGGTATTTAAAGTGTTTCTCACAGTTGTGTGGTCTTTTTTTACACAGTGACTCACTGCTATCTTAATTGATAAGATGAAGTCAGATGCATTTTCTTTTGAGAGAAAAAAAAGCCTCTTTGTGAAGTGTGTGAACTGGTTGTAATTAGGGACATTCTGTGCTTGCTTTCCCGTAGCCGCCGCTGTAAAAAACATTTTTAATTTTAAAATCGTCACCAAAAGTGTCAGTGTTCCTGAAGTGGTTTTGTCTAAATGGTGGGTGGTAAACCATGCATGTGTACACACAGCACGCCCTTTTTTGAGAACATGTTACTTGGCTTTGGTGAAACTGTGTTCACAAGACTGCAATGACAGGAAGCCACAGAAAGTCCTGTCTCTGGTGTAAAGAGTGCTGTGAACTGGCCAGCATGAGTTTTGCAGCTTTTCATAGTACGTTCTATTTATAAAATAAACTTGATGCAACTGAAGCCATGTAATTGATATATCATAAATGTAAAACTTAAATTTGAATAGTCAAAAAGCTACATGATAAGGGGTTTCCTCTCTGAAAGAGTGATGTGGGATTATTTTACATGATATTAATCTTTTGTAGGCACACACGTACACATAAGTTGTTGTTTTCAGAAACCTAGAAAAAGGCTTTTTTTTTTACACAAAGAGTCTGCCATGTTGGAACACCATGTTTTTATAGTCAACAATTTAAGTACTTTTTAGGTTTCTTTTATAACAGTAGACAGCCATATGTTGCTCAACATAGATGGACTAAATGTTGAATGGTGTCAAATTACCTCTTTATCTTTCACCTTTAAAGTTTGAAATCTAACAGACAATACGGCATAGCTACATTTTAAGCAGCTACTACTGATTTTTTTAATTGTTTTAAGCCCATCCCTCAGTAAAGGTCACTTGCCTTATGGCCTTGAATATGCCACATTAAGGACTTCATTGATACAAATTCCTTTAGTAGTGTGGTTTTAGTTTCCACTCAGGTGACCCTCTATGATCCCCACTCTCCCTGTTCGCTTCCTATCTGTGTGATTGATTTGACGGCTCAGTGTTTTATCTGCCAGTGTGGGTGTCGTGATCTTATCACCTGAGGGCTGTTTTGCTCAGTCCTGCTGTTGGAGATCTTTCCAAACACATTCCACCCAAACAGCCCCCATCATGCTTAGAAACGACAAAGGAGACGGATATTTCAGCTGTTAGGGGATAGTGCTTTATGACCTGCTTAATTGCCCGTATCCTGTGGCCCTGTTGCTAAACTAAATAATTTCCTGGACCTTTTTTAGAGATTTGGGGTCACTGCCAGTTGTTCAATGTGACCATCATGAACACTTTGCTTTACTAGCTGGTCATATCCTAAGCTATGGCGATGTTTAACTTTTGATAGTGTTTCCTAAACTGAGTATGTCTTTTTCATGCCCCTCTATTCTTTTAAGGAAGTGTTACTTGTGACTACAGTGGTTTACATACTGTAGACCAGTAAAATGTGTTACTTGACACCTATACTGCATATGTAAGGGCATACATTCCTGGTTGATTGGTAGACATTAAACACATTAGATTTAGGTCTATGTGGATATTTTAAATTTATTACAGAAATGCTATCATGTATTTAGTCATACAAAATTCACCAGATTCTTCAGATTAAGTTAGAAGTTTATGTTTTGGTTTTCTGATTTATCGTAAAAAGAGCCAGCAGGTTAGAACAGTCTGTAACCCAGACATCAACATACTAAACAGGCCTTGTTCAGTGGTAGGCTGTTCCATACACGTGTGCTTGAACTAAGTCTGAATGCTGTGTATTTTAAACCCTGCCCACTTCCCTCTTATAATTTTCATTTCCTCTCCAAGTATTTTAGGAGCATGCATACAGAGTTAAAAAATGTCAGCTATGTATTTTAAGCTTATTTACAGCCCTTTTTTATTTTAAAGACAGGATACATTGGCGTGGATGTAAGCTGTACATCTGAGCTGTTGAGTCTAGGATCAAACAACCTTGCAGTGTTTTTTGTCTCCAGAAGAAGGGCTTGTCTTCATATCTTCTTCTGGGAGCAGGGGTCTAATGTTCACAGACCATATCTCAATGCCTCCAAGAAGTGCTTTTAGCACTAAATGTCTGAATTATGGATATTGTTTTCAGTTGTGCTGCATGCAGGAGCATGAAGGCTGGGACTTCTTGTCAGTCCTTTGCTGCAGCTGGGCCGCGATGGTTCTTTTCCTGCGAGGCAACAGACATAAAAGGGCACAGATGTAAATCCCAAACCTTGTGTCTTTGATTGAGTTTCCAAACGCTTTGAAAACAGGAAGGGGTTTTGTGTGTGTGTGTGTGTGTGTGTGTGGGTGTGTGTGTGTGTGTGTGTGTGTGGGTGTGTGTGTGTGTGTGTGTGTGGGTGTGTGTGTGTGTGTGTGTGTGGGTGTGTGTGTGTGTGTGTGTGGGTGGGTGTGTGTGTGTGCTTTTTGTACATACACTTGGGAACATTTGGCATGTGTATGTGTTTCTGGGAGAGATGGGC